CCTTGTCTCTGTCTCTCTCTCTCTCTCTTTCTCTGTCCCTCTGTCTCCCTCTCTCTTTCTCTGTCTCTCTTTGTTTCTCTGTCACTGTCTCTCTTTTTCTCTCTGTATCTGTGTGTGTGTGTGTGTGTGTGTATTGTATCCCCTGGCTAGACTTTAAGCTCCTCAAGGGCATGGCTTGTTCCACTCTAGTACCTGGAATAGAACTTAATAGGCACAGTAGAACATAAATAAATAAATATTGATTGTTTGATTGGGTACTCTAGGGATTTGTTCTCCGTAACAGAAAGAGCAGGCCATAGCCATAGTCTCCAGGCATCCCATTTCTTACTCAAAAGCTCAGGGAAGCAAAGACAAGGACAAGCCATCTAAATCTTCAAATGCCTACGGCTGCCCAGCATGCCCACAGGGAAAAGGCCCATGTCCAAGTCCCTGTCCTCACCCCATGTCACCCCAGTCAGGGCAGGAGAGGAAAGCTCAATTGAATTCACTGAGAAGGCAGCCAAAGGGCCTTCTGTGAGGGTGGAGCACTGCCTCTGGATTCAGGACTACTCTCTCCCAGTGTTCCCCCACCCCCAACTCTCTGCTGGACCTCAGAGACTCTTCCATTAGTTTTAAGGAATCTTCGTGTAGGCCCAGATTTAAAATGACAGGGAAGGAGGTGGTTAGGATTTACTGTAGCCCTCTCCCCAGACCCCCATTTCTCCCACTTTCCTCCCAGTGTCTACCTTCCCAAAGGACCCTTCTACTCCCCCAACAACACTGGGGCTTCTTCACAAGTGAGAAATGTGAGGATTCTACTTACTCCACCAATTCAAACACTTCTCACAGTAAGGCCCAAAGCTCTCATACACACACACCCCATCCCACCCTCCCCCCCCCACATACCCCCTTGACAATCCTGAAAGTTGATGTCCTTCCCAGCCTCCCAAGTCAGCCAAGATTCTGCCATCTCTACCCAGGGAGGAGAGAACAATCACTTCCCTTCTCCTGCACCAGCCGCCTCACCCCTGCCCCACTATCCTGACTCTCTCTGGTCCCCTGGTACCTGGGCTAGAGCTGTGTGGTCCTCCTGGGTCCCCATCCTTTGGATGCAGGGCTGGGAGGTGCCTGGGGACGGGGAAAAGGAGAGGAGAAGAACACCTGTATAGCTCTGAGGACTTTAGTCTAAACATCACAGACATCGTTCAGAAGTAAATCTGTAACTAGAGCCCTAAGTCCAGAGATTGTGAAAGCGGAGTCTTACAGGAGGTAACGTATTAACTCCCCTGCTGGGTGTACCCTGGCAAAGGTCACGTCCCTTGGTCCCACCTGCCCAGGGTCAAAGCTCCATGGCCCGTTAGGCAGGAAGAGGGGGCAGGGTGGGAACCGCTGGGCTCATTCCTTCATCCACCAAACATTTATGGAATACTTTCTGTGTGAAAGACGCTGAGGGAGAAACAAAGGTAAATAAACCTGTTTCCTGTCCCTGAAGGAACTTAGAACAGTCTCTTAACTACATAAGGTTCTGGCGCACTGTGCGACACAAAAAGGGAAACCTGGGGAGAGGCTGCTTGGAAGGGGTGGAATTCCTAGCCCCCTCCCTCCCAAATAGTTGTTTCTCCTTTGTTTCTAACCCTTAGGAGAGCCAGTGGTATGGTGGACAGACAACTTGATCACAGGTCAGTAGGCCTAGGTTCCAGTGAAATTAGCATTAAGAGCACTTTTCAGGAGAACTTTGGACTTACCCTTTGGCTCTGTGTGACCTTGGGTCAGTCACTTCCCTTCTCTAGGCCTCAGTTTCCTCACTTGTAAAATGAGGGAGTTGAAATATATAGTATTTAAGATCTTTTCCAGGGCTAACATTCTATGATCTCTAGGTTAGTAATAGCTAGAATTTATATGTCACTTTAAGTTTTTGCAAAAGGTTTCTCACAGGCATGATCTCATTTGATCCTCACAATAAACCTGAGAGGTGAATGCTATTATTATCCCCATTTTGCAGATGAAGAAACTGAGCTGAAGAGTAGTTAAGTGACTTGCCCAGGGTCATACAGCTAGTAAGTGTCTGAGGCTGGATTTGAATCCAGTTTTTCTTAGCTTCTATAATGAACATTAGAAGCTCTTTATAACATAAGAAGATTCAGATCTGGAGGGAGATTCAGAAATCTATCCCTGTCTAGCAGCAAGACTTTAAGCCATCACTGTATTTGAGATTCTGTTTCATGCTTTAGCAAGGGGAGATTCTAAGCCCTGCCCTGACTCCTTCATAGGGTTCTTTGAAAGGTCAGATGAGAAAAATAACCAGTAATGATGATGACTCTTCTTGTCCACAGAGGTCAGGGGGACTCAGTTCCCCCTTTTTCCCTTTCCAGCTTTTCCTCAACAAGGGGAACCCAGAGGTCACTGAATGAACAAGAAGGATCAGTTCTTCTTCAACTCCAAATATGCCTTATTCTGGGGGGGGGGGGCGGGAGAAGGTCTCAGATGTTTTCTTGTCTCCCACTCAGCCCAGGGGCCAAAGCAGAGGGAGGCAGAAATGCCAAAGATAGGGAGCAGATCCACTGGCGGGGCCTGGGACCAGCCTAGAACCTACTGGGAGGGGGGGATGGATGGAGATTGATGAGGCTCTTTTGGGAAAAGGTTTAGGGAATTCCTGGCATGAGAGATTAGACAATGGAGCCACCTGGATCTACATCTCTAGCTCTCGTCTTGACAATCCAGTCCATTGAAGCAACGGGACAGGACGGGAACAGCGATAGGAGTGTTTCCTCCATGCTGATTCACCAGGTTAGGGAGGTACGATCCTGCAACCTCCTCTCCCCTTCCCCTGCTCAACTGAAGCCCCAGAGCCCGAAGGGAGGACCTACGTCTGCTTTGCCGACAACCGAGCCAGGGTCTCCCTAGAGAGGTCAGCGGGAAGACAGCTCCCCAGTCAAGCAGCAGCTTCATTGAGTTATCCATCTGTTGGCTGATCCCCCTGCCCAAGCTGGCTTCCACCACCAGATTGCCTCAGCTGCCCCAAGTAGTCTGACCAGTTCTCCGAGGGTGTATGGATGGATAGATGGATGTATGTTTGTATATGCCACACTGTACTTCCTCCTCCACCCCCCCCCCAACCGTGCCCCAGCCTCCACTGGCCTCCACTGCTCTGCAGGTGGTTATGGAAATAGGAAAACCCTGCCTCCTCATAGACCAGATCACACACACACACACACACACACACACACACACACACACACACACCCTATACAATCACAGGCTCAGGTATACAAATGCCTGCATTGTAATTTTTAACAGTTTATTGACCCCAAGATTGCTTCTCAGCTTTTTCTGTGTTTTGATTGCTGACTCTTGATTGGGATGGTGGGGGGTGAGAGAAGGAGCGGGGTAGTATTCTCTTTTGGAGTGTCAGCCAGGAAAGGAAGGACGCAGGACAGGCCCTGGAACAGGTGTGTGTGTGTGTGTGTGTGTGTGTATGTGTGTGTGTGTGCACGTGCATGTACAATGTACAGTTGTGCCAGCCAGGAGGAATTTAAACAGGCACCAGGAAAGCCCCTGATTGATTCATCTCTATGGCTGGGACGGATAGTAGCTAGGGTGGCGGAGTCAGCTTGATCGTAGTTCTGGCCTCTGCCCCTAGGAGGAGGCTCAGCTCAGATAGTGCATCTTGAAAGGTTCTATCTACACTACCCCCAGCCATTCACAAAGTTAGAGGGCATATGCACTCAAATATCAACTCTACTTCTTACCTCGGTGACCTTGGGCAAATCATTTAACCTCTGTAGGCCTCAGTTTCCTCAACTGTAAAATGGACTAAATGATCTCTAATATTTTCTTCCTGCTCTAAACCCTATGATCTGATGAATGTCTGCAATCCCTATGCATACTAAGTTCCTAATGGTTAGATGACCTTTACAATCCTGCCCTCCACTTCCCTAGGCCCCTGGCTTAGGAGCAATTCCCCTGAAAAAAGATGTCGATAGAGCGGTAGGTTGTTGCATGACAACTGTCCTAAGCATCCTGTCCTCAAGGGTAATAGCAGTGGTTGTGCCCCCTGGGCACAGGTTAGCTGGCTCATCGTGGGAACACAGTTTTGGTGTTACCTCTACCTGCCTGTCTCAGTCTTAAGTATTCCCCTTGGGCTGTTCAGAGATAGGATGGTGTGGGTGACAACCAGCCTGACACTGCCCCATCCCTAAGAGGTATCCTGTCCCCTTAGGTAATGGAGGCTTGGGGTGGGGAGAGTCTAAGGAGAAGTTCTGCTGGTTATGTGGTCTGACAGATCTCAGTGATGGGTGGGGAAATGTTTCCAGACCATGGAATACCAAGGTTGATTCAGAATAAATCTGTCCCAGATCTCTGCCCTTCTTTCAGCCCCAGACTTTCCCAGGACACCACCAATGTTATCTTCCCCAGCTAAGGTTCCCTCCCCTCACCACATTGCCTGTTTGGAATCCCACCTGCTTTTCAAGGCCCATCTTCTCCAGGGAAGCTTTCTTCTAACCAATCACACTTTTAATTCTGATCCCACTAACAATGGCTCCATGACAAAATCCACAAAAAGATCGGCTCCTCTCTTTGGCTTAGGGAAAGAGCCTGGGAATCAGAGCCATGGAGACTTGGTAGCCTTAATTTCTTTTCTCTGGGGGAAGGGAACCCCAATCCTCTACCTGAGAAGCCAAAAGGAGCATTTAGAGTTAAAAGGAAACACTGAGATGCTGAGAAAACATGGCATTTAGCACAGGCCCTCCCCTGGCACATCCCAACTCTTGTGCCCAGGCATCTACTCTTTCCAACCCATCCCAGTGCATTCTCTAGGGAAAGGTCAGGTTGGCATAGGTTTTGAAAGATGGCTGGTTGGAGATTCTGAGAAATCTATCCTTATCTCCTGCCCACTTCTCAAAAGCAAGGTGGCAGGGTATGCTAAATCTCAACATCGATAGGGAAATATAGACAAAAGCTTAAGTCTTCCTGAGTGCTTTTACTATTCTTGGAGGATCATGGAAGAAAATGGAAGAAAATGGAGACAGGATATTTTATTTTATTCAAGTCTGGTGGACCAGATGATAATAGGACAGGACGGCTCCAAGACCCCAAAACATCCTCCCCTGCCTGCCCCTCCCCCATCAGAGACTGGAGCCAGGAGACCATAAAGGGGAAAAAGAGAAGGAAAAAGAGGAAGAGTCAGGGGATGTAGAAGGAGGAAGGGGAGGGAGGGAGGACAAAAGGGAGATATATGATCTGTAATTCACAGATGGGGAAAGAAGTCTAAGATATGACTCTGGCTTCCCTGATCATCCACCAGGGGCCCCAGGAGAGATTGCTCCCTGACCCCTCCCCTTGGAGGGCTGAGGAAGGGCCTTCATCCAAGCAGAGCCAAGGATGGAGGTGGCTCCCAGAAATGAGGCTTCTGTGGATTTTGCAAACTGAAGGGAGAGAAAGTCCTGTTATTCACAGAGGTCAGCTGGACCCACATCCTCGGTCCACAAAGACCTCTCTCCTGAGCGAGGAAAGGCTAAAGTTCCTTCCGGAGGAACTCCTCCTGGCCAGGCATCTCCTCTTCTGGACAGGTGTCTCTGCACAACAGCCTCTCCAGGGCCTCTCGGCCCCCTTGCCTGTATTCGCTATACAGCTGATCTTCACCAAGCTCTCCCAGGTAGTTGTGGCACATCTTGAAGAGCCTGCAAGGTGGGGGAAGCAGAAGAGGTGGGTGAAATGGCCCCATGCACTTTTCATTTGCCAGGTCCCAAATAACTCTCTTGGCCTTTTGCCCTCATTTTGAGGGGCAGCAAACAAGAGGGCCCATGTAGTCCCTCTTGGGGGTGGGACACTGGACTGAGAGGAAAGACATTTGGGTTCTAGTTCTGGCTTCTCCAATGAAGGTGTGTGACCCTGTACTGCCCCTCCCTGGGCCTTAACTTCCCCATTTGCAAGTTTCTATGAGGTTCCTTCTAGATCTGACAATTTGAGGGATCTTTGCTTCTATGAAGGAGAAATACTTAAGCTTCAGTAGAAAACGCCCACCCCCAATGTGCTTGAGTCATCTCCTCCTTGTTGCTCTTCCCAGCCTGCTGGACCCTCCCTCAGGGGAGGCTATGTGACCCTGGGTCCTTTGCCCGGCATTCAAGCCCCTCCACAATCAAGTGCCACCTTACTTTTTTCTTATCTCACTCCCCTCCTCAAAGTCAGCCTTGACTATCCTCTCCTCCCCAATATAACCTGTGCTCTCTCTCATCCTACTGAATACACTCCATCCTATCCTTTCAAGCACTATCCAAATGCCACCTTCTCCAGGAAGCTTTGCCTAAGCTTTACCCAGCTGGTCATTACTCTCCTTTTCAGATGTCCAATAGTACTTTGTTTTGTACCTGCCAGCAAATTTATTGTGGAATATTGTGGAATCTAGCTACCAGGCTTGGTGTCTTTTTCCTCTCATGAAACTGTAATCTTATTGACACCAGGGATCCTGACTTATCTAAGCTTTCTACCTCCCTAGAACCCAGTACACAGTAAATGCTTGAAAAACATTTATTGTTGTGTTTGGTAGATTGGCCTATTTACTGCTTACCCAGCCCTGAATGAGGGTCATTACCTGCCTGGCCACGGGCCTCCGGTTATCATCACACTGATGCCCACCACGTCGTCCAGCCCCGGGCCAACAAAGCGTTTCACCTTGTTTACTTCTTGGACCCCATAACTGGTGGCAGAGATTATCACAAGGAGGCAGAGAACACACATTAGAAGAGGGCAGGTTGAAGAGTGCTGGGGGAAAGGGATCCATCTGGGCCTGCATCCCCCATCTAGCTTGCTGACTTCCCCAGAGCGAGCCTTTCCCTGTTTTCAATGTGGCAATGCTCAAGACTGGCTACACCTGCTTAGGGGATTGAATTCACAACACAAGTAACACCCCCGGATAAAAGAAGTCAGTTTATAGGCTATCAGACCAGCAGAAGCCGTGTGTGTGTGTGTGTGTGTGTGTGTGTGTGTGTGTGTGTGTGTGTG